CTCATTTTCCACTAGTCTTTAACTATGGGCTCTTATAACTAATTCTGTGGAAATCGGAATTGTTTATGAAAGTATTCATTCCTGCCGGGCGTGGTGGCTCACGCCTGTAATCCTAGCACTCTGGGAGGCTGAGGCGGAGCGATGCTGTTGGTTCAGAGTTGCGAACCAGCTGAGCAGGCGGACCCCATCTCACTATAAATAGAGAAAGTTAATGTGGCCAACGTACATGAGGTATAGAAAATTAGCGGCAGTGGTGGCGCATGCCTGCGAGTCCAGCGACTGGAGTGAGCAGAGATCACTTGAGCTCGAGGTTTGAGGGTGTGTGAGCTAGGCTGACGCCAGCATTCGACCTCTAGCGCTGGGCAAAGGGACTCCGTGTCTGCAAAAAAAAAGGTATTTCATTCCTGTTACTTTTTTAATGCAATTCTAGTTAAAAGAACGGAGAGGTGAATAGAAAGAAAAAATAGGATCAGTCAGAAGCAATAAAACAATAAGAAATTTTAAAGTTAAAACAGGAATATAATGCGAATGTAAAATATAAGACTACTTCTCAAATGACTCCATTCAGTTCTTTCACATTGGGCTGTGAAACATTTTAATCTAAATTCTTGCTACAGTGGAGACTGCAGTTCCAGAGCCTTTTTATGCTTAAGATGAATAGAGACGCATAAATTTTTGTTTTTTTTGAGACAGTCTCACTCTGTCGGGCCTGGCTAGAGGGTGCTAGGTGTTTCCAGGGGCCTTAGCCTCAGCAGCAAGCCTCAACATCTGGCGCAGCGATGTCCTCCTGCCTCAGCCTCAAGTAGCTGGATTATAAGCATGAGGCCATGTACGGGCTAGATAATCTACCTTTTAAAATGTTGCCAAGAACTAGAGCAGTGGGCTCCACGACATGAAGTTCCAGCACTCAGAGCAGAAGCAGGAGGCAGTTGAGACTTGAACCTGATCAAGCTGCAATGAGCGCATGCAGTTAATTCGTTTTCTTTTCTTTCTTCTTCTGTTTTTTTTTTTTTGTTGACAGAGGCTCATTGTTGCAGGCTAGAGTGAGTGCCGTGGCGTCAGCCTAGCTTCACCCAATAAAGCTCAACTCCTGGGCTCACGCAAGCCTCCTGCTCAGGCGTCCGAGTAGCTTTTTGGGACTGCAGATGTGCACCCATGCGGCGACGGGCTACCTTTTTTCTATATATTAGTTGCAATTAATGTCTTTCTAGTTTATAGTAGAGTGGTCTTGCTCTTGCTCAGTGTTGCGAATCCGGACGTCGAGCAAATCTCCCGCCTCGCCTCAGAGTGCCTAGGATTCAGCGTGAGCCCGCGACTGCCCTAATTTTTTCTGTATGTGTCAGTTGCAATAATTTCTTGCTATTTTTTAGTAGAGACGGAGCTCGTCTTGCTCAGCTAGGTTTTGAACGGGCTGACTTGAGAGTCTGCCGCTCAGCTCCAGAGGGCTAAGATTACGGCGTGAGACACGTGCCGACCAGAGACCATAAAGGTTTGCATGGTATGTTTTGTGCAAAATAATTTTTCTCGCTTATAATACAATTCCATGCCATTTAATTATCCAGACTAGTGTTATATTAAGTAAATAGCATGTATTAGTAATATTATAAATCTAGAGTAAATTACACCAAAGAGCCAATACATTTTACGTAACTGCCAAAAATGTTTTTTTTAAGAGACAGGATCTCACCCATGTTGCCAGTTGAGAAGGGTAGCAGTTGTGTAATCGCAGACTCACTGCAGCTTAAGACTGGTTAGGCTCAAGAGATCCTCCTACACCAGCCTTCTAAGTAGCCAGATACGGTTTCGAAGACGCAGCCAGCCAATTGAAAAAAAAAAAGCTTTTATTTAGAGATCTTGCTATGTATTCTGGTTGATCTGTGAACTCCTGCCGCAAGGAGCCTCAGTTTGGGCGCCAGAGTGCTGGGAGACGTGTGAGCCACAGTGCCAGTCTAACCTTTACTGAAATATGTTTTTTTTCAATGTTTTTTTTTTTGAGACAGAGCTCTCGTTTTGTTGCACAGGCTAGAGTGAGTGCCGTGGCGTCAGCCTAGCTCACGCAGCTCAACACTCCTGAGCTCAGCGATCCTTCTGCTCGCTTCCGGTGCTGGGACTACAGGCGTGGCCAGCAGCACGCGTAGAGTTTTAGTATGGGTAGCTATATATTAGGTTGCCAATTATTTTCTTTCTAGCTGTTTTTTATTATAAGAGACGGTTCGCTCTTGCTCAGGCTGGTTTCGAACTCCTGACCTCGAGCAATCCGCCCGCCTCGGCCTCCCAGAGTGCTAGGATTACAGGCTTGAGCCACCGCGCCCGGCCTGAAAAAATTTTTTAAAAATCTATCTTGTTTCAATCCTTAAGAACCTTCATTCTACCTCAGCCTCATTTCCTAGATGGTTGTAATATATTCACTTTTCTTAAAGAATCACCACACACTTATTATTTGTTAAATCTTTCAACTCACCCAAATATAACTGCATTCCACTGCATGATGTTGTTTTCAGATGGTGCACCACTGACACCCACAGGTGGGTCCTCTTGCAATCTAGAAATCCAGAGGGGTAATTTTAAAAGTTGAACAATAAGGCCACAATAAGGAACAATAAGGAGGCCAGAACACCTATGGACACTATAACATTTTGGGACAAAAACTAAATCTATTTCCTTGTTATTGTGCTAAACTAAATATATAGACCAGGCATATATACTTATTAAATACCTTTCCAAATTATCTAGAAGTCCAAAGGGCTTAGGAATAATCCCTCTTAAAATATCATCAAAATTAAGATATTATAATACCTCTTTAAGAACTAATGCACACAGACTGCCCTCTTCAACCAAAAAAAGTTTAAAACCTCAACAGCAAAAATTACTTTGACAGAATTGATTTTGCTGCCCTAAACATACAAAGGCTATGTAAGTCTTAACATAGATATTTGTACAACAGGGCTACAAGAAAAAATAAAAGCAAACCTCAATGTAAACACTAAATGACTGAAAACACTCAATCTAATTAGGAAGCTAGATTTAGGTAGGATATTTAAAAGCCATTGCTTCTGAGAGCAATGGCTTTTAAAAGTAATCAGAAGCTTCAGTTGGGTTTTCCACCAGTCCCTATTTTAAAGGCTCTGCACTAACACCAAATCTACCTTTCCGACCAGAAGACTCAGTACAAAGCTTCCAACATTCGTCATAGTCAAATTCTCGTAACCTGAAGACCTTTGGAAAACTACCAAAGGTACCATGTGTTCAACGTAGAATTAAGCAGAGAAATACAGTAAGGAACCAGGGGGACAATGGACATGAACTGAAAGTTTTATTATTTGAATTTTTCTTGAGAACTAATCAAATCTACTGATTTCAAGCTTTAGAAAGAGGATTTCTGCACAAAATAGAGCCTCTCCCTTTGAAGACTGTCACCTCAGTTAAAAAACGCTACATTGTACACACACACAAATATATATGTAGTCATTTTCATGTGGTATAATACTTTGCAATGAGTCCACATAAAAATGGCTCTTTTTAGTTAATCTCAAACAAATTAGGCCACCATGAACAGAAGCCTTAGAGGAACTATACTGCTTGAAGCCTACCTTTAAATGCCTAAGAGAAACCAGGAATGAATTTAAAAAGCTGGCCAAAGTCCAAAACAATGGCTTGCAAATGATTCACATAAAGCTTAATGGCGAAGTTGAGAGGTTAACTTCCTGAGCGGCAAATCTAAGTTTTTACACTAAATATTCTGTCGAAATCCGGGTAGGTCTCCCCAGGGGGAAAAAAAAAAAAAAACTTAAGAAAAATTTGCAGAGTATCGCAATGGTAAGTTCTCTCATCATTTTTTTTTTTTTACGTACCTGTAAATATTCAACAGGAGATAAACAACTGAAAAAAAGTCATTCTCTTCTCCCAACCCCAATACCCCACAACAAACTCTAGTTTTACAAAGGGAGGCCCAGGGAGTATCAGATTAGCGCCAGGCTAAGGGAAGGCATTTTTCCAGACTTTGGAGGCTATAGATAGGGCTTTATTCACCAGCCAGAGCTGAGTTCCAGAACGTACTGGCAGCCGGAGTGGCCAGCTCCAAGGTCCCAGATCTCCGAGTCAGTTCTCAAGGTCCTTTCCGGCGGGCGGGGGCAGGGTCAGGTTTCGGGGGATGGGCTAACCACCTCCGGACCTCGCGCGGCGGACCCCACCCTCGCTGCAGAAAAGGGGGGGCCCTTTTCGCCCCAACCCCGATCCTCAGAGGAGGGAGAGGACCGCGAGGCCGCGGAACAAAGCTGACTGGCGGTGCAGCAGGCGAGGGACAACCTCCTGCAAGAGCTCACTTTTAGGGGGCGGGAAGGGGGCGCCGCGGGGCGCAGGGCGGGGGCAGGAGGTTCGATCGCCCGGGTGGGACATCGGGCAGATGGCCGACATGGACAGCAGGGAGCCCTAGGCCGGCCGATCGCCACCGTTTCACTTTCTAGGACGGGAACGGGGAGGAGGAGTATGGAAGTCTCCTAGGCTGCCAGGGCGGGCAGCGAGGATGAGGGAGCGGGAGCCGAGGCCAGGACCGGGCTTCGGTCGGCCCCGCGGGGCCCGCAGCCGGCCCCTTAGGGCTATCAGGGAAGGTGTCCGGGATCCCCGCCCTGCACCCCGTAGCTCTGGGGAGGAGTCGTCTTCTAGGCGAAGGTGAAGGCCCTTACCGCTTGAAATCCCGCATGAGCCTCCTCCGGGCCGGGGTCGACATGCTCCCCAGCTGCCCCGCGGTCAGTCTGAAAGAAAAGAGTCCCGCGCAGCCCCCCCACCCCCCGGCGCGGCGGCCGAATCACTGTGGGTCGCCGCCGCCGCCGAGACTGCACAAACAACCCTGCAATGACGTCTCCCTCCGCCGCCTCCAGATCCCTCCGCCCTTCAGCCGGTACCACGGGGCGAGGGAGGGGGAGAAGGGGCGGGACCTATGGGCGCTGGTTCCGGGGGCTTTTCGGCGGAGGCCGTTTCCATTTTGGCTGGCTGGAGTAAGGGACACGTTAGCGTTCTCTTTGCTCAGACCAGAAAATGTGTATTAAGAGACACCGAACCCGAAGCCCCATCCTGTTTCCCTCCCTATCGCTAGTTTAGGCTCGGCGGGGGCGGGGGGGGGGGAGAAGGACATATCCGGGGCCAGAGATTTCAGGGGAAGGAGGTGGGATGACGTAAGGTCACGTGACTGCCGGCAGCGTTGTCAACAATCCACCCCGGGGGGAGGGGGCGAAGTATCTAGAATCACGTGTCCCTATGACGCGTTAGAACGGGTCACGTGAGAGCGTCGCCAGGATCTGAGGTTCAGTCAGGTCTATGAAGCCGGTGGCTAAGTTTGCCGGGTTGAGGGCGTGATATTCCTTTATTAGTTGTTCCCCGTTTCTCCCCGGTATAGGGACATTACCGAAGAGATCGTGGCAGAGCAACAGCTTCTTTTGCATCTGTTTTCTTTAAAACGGAACTCCAAATAATTTGGACTTTACTGCCCTCTGGTTGGTTCCATGGCTTACCAACTCTGGTATGTGGGGCAGGGAGGTCGAGTGGAAAGTTCGCGATCATCTAATGCAGCATTGAATGTTGAGGCCCAGATAAAGTTAAATCTGAAATGCTTCCTTACGGTCACCAAAGCTTTTCTGCTTTGCAGTGGGGTTTCCGGGATTGGAAATTCTGGGCGGCAAAGATGAAAGAATAGAGAGTGCCCAAGATTTGTTTGAAGTCCCCACGGAATTAATGAATTATTTTTCCTTTATGGGTCTGTTTTCGTTTGAAAAGATGTTGTCAGTCTGTGGATCTGCCTGTGTGGCGGGTACCACTGTATTTGTCAAGAAATGGGTTGCGATCTTGAGAGCATATCCATGAGTGGTTAGTTGCCAAGAAACCTACAAATATGATTCAGACAGTGGGGGGAGAGATCGTGCTGACAAGAGTAGGGGTTATAATTCTAGCCTAAGATAACTCAGGTTTTCTACACTAGCAAGTAAGATACAAATGGGCCCTCCCACCAGGGGGCTTAGCTCAGAGGTGTTGACACCCTCATCCTCAACTTTTCCACTAGTCACTGGATTCCTTCTTTCTCTTGCCGTCTTCAGGACTTTGTTGGTCGGGAGGCCACTGAGCACATTTGTATCCATTTGGGGAATTCTTCAGCTCAACAGGAAAAGAGAGTGGAATGAGGACCTTATCATTGCCCCAAGCTTGTCCTTGGTTCCATAGAAGCAGAAAGGTTTAATCTTTTGTGCTTTCCTTGTACCTCTGTTTCTTCAAATACTGACTTCCATCGCTTGCATTTATATGACTGCCTTGGTGATCAAGTTAGCCAGGCCTAACCCTTGATAGGTCCTGCTGTGCATTCACAATGTGATTGTCTAAGTCAAAAGCTGAATATTCTTTTTTTTGCCTTGCTGCCATAGCAATCCTAATTCTCCCCATAGGAAGACTTATGTGTAGGGTTACATGCAGTGAAATGCTAAATAGAAACTATAGTTTTTAAAAAATCCCTGTGTCATTTATCTAGCAATTTATAATTGTGGAAAGTGACGGTTTATGATTTTCTAAAATGAGATACTTTTGACTAATTCAGTGAATGTACTTCCTAAAGTCTTAAAGTAGTGTACTAGCAAGAATCACTGGCTCTCCTGGTCACCAGGCCTGCCATGACCTATTTGTAGAAAGAATAATTTTAAAGCTCTTTAATTGCATTCTGTAGCTTCAGATTGTGAGCTCACTAAGGGCAGGAACTCTGGTTTATGCATTGTCCCTTACAAATATTCAACTCAAAACAAATATTTAATAAATATGCTTACAGCCAGTCTGGGTCCACTGTAAGATTTACTATGACATTCTTATTTATAGATAGTATTTTATAGTGTAGTTGAATAACTTTTCGAAAAGAAAGACAACTCTGAATATTTTGGTTGATAAACCAAAATCACGACCACTTCTCCTTTCTCTCATGCTACCCTATCAATATAACCCCTAGCAGCATAGTGGACACACTTGGGAAGCTCTTAAAATACCAATTTCTCTACCGTATCCCAATTAAACAGGATCTCTGGGGGATGGGCCCTTTGAAAACTGCCCAGGTGTGATTTTAATATGCATGCTGGAGTGGGATCCATTGGACTAGAGTTTATTGGATAATGATTCCCTTTCTCTTATTTAGGGGAAGCACTGCGAGATTTGGTCTTTTACGTTTAACTCATTTTACAGAAAAATAAATTACGCTTCAATAAAAACAGCACTCCATGGGCACCTGCTCTAGTGATAGCCTTATTCATTTGAGGCTGTCACTCCAGTCGAATCCTGTATCTACTTACACAGTTAGACATCGGCCTTTCTTTTCCCTTGTACATCACTCCGATTGTGGAGGAATCCTTTGAATTACGTGCTTTCCTAAGGAGAGAGATTTAGAGTTTTGACATGTAGTGAGGATCTTTTAAAAAAAGATTACTAGGAGTTGGAAAAATTTTAAAGGCATATAGCAGGTGTTTATGAAAAGTTCTTGAGAACCATCTCATCCCCGTTCTAAGGACTGCTGAGGTCGAACTCATGTTTTAAGGGTTATTAATGTAGGTAGGTAATTTAGAAAATTGTAATCGCACGAGAGACTTCCTTGGACATCTCGCTTTACAAACTCTGTTTAATGACACCTGCCATTCTTTAAGGACTCAGTGCAAGTGGCTGGTGTTCTCCAACCTGGGAACATCCGCGACAGGGACAGAACAGGCCTCCGCCTCGCTTTTCCTTCCCTAGCGGATTTGCTGTCACTCGGGCCGCGGCCAAAATGTGGATGGCCCCGTCCCCATTCAGAATGTGAGGCGGCTCTAAGTGCGACAGCAACCTGCCATCTACTCTCACTCAGTACCCACCTGCAGCTTGGTTTCAGTTTCCCTTCCGGGTCGGGACCCTGCGGGTGTTCCGGTCTTGCACGCTAGGGCCTGAGCGCCGGCGCCTCCTCCGCCGTTTCCATGGTAGCGGGCGGCGCGGAGGGAGCTGGCGCGGTAGCGTCGGGCCGCGTTGCCTGACTGGGACTGCGCGGGAGCCAGGCCGGCGGGACTGCAGCATGGGCTGAGGCGTCGGCCGCCGGGCGAGGGCGCGACGCCGGTCCGCGATCCGAGGACTTCGGGTTTGAGGAGCGGGAGGGGCCGAGGCTTTTCCAGGACCTGGGCCTGTGAAGTGGGCTGGTGCTGGAGTGCTGGAACCTCTTACTTGAAGAGCACGGCGGGATGTGTGGGGACACCTCGCTTAATGGATGGTGACAAGTAGTGAGGGCGTCTCAGTGTTAATGGGAGTGACCCGGACGGCAGGAGCATCCCTAAGTTCTCTTGAGGGTTGGAGCCTGACAAGAGCACCTTACTGCCAGGCTGGCGGTTTCCAAAGATAAAAAGGCTCTGTGGAAAAGATTCCCATTATTCCTGTTTTTTAATATTTGAAAGTATGGGGGCCGGGCGCGGTGGCTCACGCCTGTAATCCTAGCACTCTGGACGGCAGAGGCGGGCAGATTGCTCAAGGTCAGGAGTTCGAGACCAGCCTGAGCAAGAGAGAGACCCGGTCTCTACTAAAAATAGAAAGAAATTAATTGGCCAACTAAAAATATATAGAGAAAAAAGTTAGCAGGGCATGGTGGCGCATGCCTGGTACTCGGGAGGCTGAGGCAGGAGGATTGCTTGAGCCCAGGAGTCTGAGGTTGCTGTGAGCTAGGCTGACGACATGGCACTCTAGCCCAGGCAACAGAGTGAGACTCTGTCTCAAAAACAAACAAACCAAAAAAAAAAAAAACCTCACAAATATTTGGAAGTGTGGGTTAATTGAGGATATGCATTATCCAGCTTGAATAAATGAAAGTATAAATGTTTAACAATTTTCCTTTTCTTTCCTTATTTCTATGAAGAAGTGGAAACCCAGTTTGAAAAATGGAGATGTATGAAACCCTTGGAAAAGTGGGAGAGGGAAGTTACGGAACAGTCATGAAGTGCAAACATAAGGATACTGGACAGATAGTGGCCATTAAGATATTTTATGAGAAACCAGAAAAATCTGTCAACAAAATTGCAGCAAGAGAAATAAAGTTTCTAAAGGTTTGCTTCTTTTGCCTTAATTGCTCTGTAAGTCAAAAGAAAAACTTTTATGGAATAAAAAATTGTATAAAATAATATTTCGGCTAACACACGTACTAAGACAACGTAATAGAAAAATAAATGTGGTACACTATGGCATTGCCTACATTTTGTAGTTTTATACTGATACAAGATGTATATGCTTTTGTGTAATGTAACAAAAGCTAAACCACTATTATGAAATAATTATTCAGAAATATTCAAGTATAATACTTAATAACAATGTGTACTTTGTACAAGGCATTGTGCTAGACGCTGAGACTATAAGTAGGTAAAAGACAGTTCTTGCCCTTTAGAACTTCAATTTAATCATAAAAACAGGAGGGTATATAAAAATAATACTGAATAAAAAGTGCTCATAACAAATGCTAAGTGATCAACACAAAGTCCTATTGGGCAGGGAAGATTTCTTGGAAGAAATGGGATGTGAATTTGGCTTTAAAGGATGTGTAAGATTTACATAGAGGAAGAGACTATTGTGTTTCAGATTAGGGGAACCACATAGGCTAAAGCAGGACAAGGGACAAAGCAGAGTGGAAAGGAAAGAGCAGAGACATTTTTGCTTATAGAATTTTCCGTTCAGAATTAGAAAGAGGTGAGATTAAAACAGTAAATTGGAGGTAGATTTTAAAGTCTTGTATTTTAGGCTAAGAAGTCAAAACTTGGTTTTGTAAGAGGTGGAAAATCAATGAAGGTTTTGAATTCAGTGTAAAGAAACTCTGTAAATATTAATCTAGCACTATGTGCTAGTGCTAATCTATTTATGTAAAATAGATTGGAGAACTAAGAGTAAAAATAGGTCCACTTTGAGTTTGATTCAGGAATCTTGGTAAATGTCGTGAGGTCCCTTGCTAGAATACAGCAATATGAATGGAAGGTAAACTTGCAACGTGGTATATTGCAAAAGAAGACATGAAAGAGTGTAGAAGGATAGGGAAAGGCAGGAGTCAAAGGTTCGGTGATTTCTACAATTGATGGAAATATGAAAGACTTGAGGTTGGTCCAAGTGCAGTGTGTTTACAACTAATTGATCACAACCAGTTACAGATTCCTCTGTTCCTTCTCCCAGTGCTTCACTTGACCAGAAAAAAAAAAAAAATGAAAGACTTGAAAGAGACGTGGTTTGGATACTAGTTCAATTTTAGAAATGTTGAATTTGAGGTGACAGGAAGACATTTAAGTAAAGATGACCAGTAGGCTTTTAGAGATGGGAAATAACATCAGGAAACATTAGAGCAGAAGGTAGAATCATGTGTAGGTGTGACAGGTCAGGTGAAAGAAATGAGTGTGGAGTAAGGAGCATTTACATTCCTTGGGGATTGGGTACAAAACTATTGATTTTAAAAATATTTAATATGTATTCTGTTTATTGGAATCTAGGTGCTTTAAGGTTTATGATCTTAATTAGATGTTTTATGTGCGATGATGTAAACAGATGCTTTTGTTCATCTTTATTGGATAAAAAAGTAATATTTTCTTTCTAAATGTATATTAGATGTCATGGATCCATTTGCTTTCTAAATAGACTATATTAGGCATCTGAGGATTATTGGAACTGCTCTATTTCTAGACAATGAAATGGAAAGTTAAAGTCAGTAAAGATGTTATGATTTTGTGAAAGATATCAGTTCCTGTCCTGATGACCTAAAACATAAGAATGCTGTAAGACAACTCTTGTTCACCAAAAGTGAAAATCTGATTAGAAGGAGATTTTTTCCCAATTATCTCTTGCTCTTTCTTCAACTGTTGCACTTAAATTGATTTTTTTCTACTTAATCATTTTTTAAAAATAAGCAGTGTATGGCAAGAACACAGAAATGAACTTGAAAATATATTTTACTATTACAACTATTATGCAAATTATTTTAAGATATCTTAACTATTCTCATTGGCTTTTCATAAAATTTTTAATTTGATATAATCCAATTCCACTAGACAGATTTATTGGATTAGTTAATATTCTTAGTCTAAAAAGATTGTCAAAATGACTTAATTTGAACTAAATTTTTATCTGTTAGAATTTCATTAAAAATAAATTATAGTTAAAGTAATTAGTGGGAATATCTGCAGAAACATTGTCTAGTAATGGAGAAAAAAATTAAACATCTTGAAGAGGGGTAATGGAGCATTTCTAGGGATTTCATTTCATGGTTTATCAGAGAAAGTAGTATACCTGATTCCTCATTCCTGGATAAATCTTCCCTAATGCTTATTAACTCACATTAACCCTTTACTGCTTTCACTGCTTTTGCCTTTAAAGTAAACACTGCCAGGAAACTAGTAATTTTCCTTAGGTGAATGATTGATATGGTGGTGTCCAAAAGCAGTCAGTTCTTTTCACTGCTGCCAATGTGCTGTTGCTGTAGCACTCTGGCATCTTGCCAACCAGGGAAATTGGGAGCAAAAAAGAAAAGGAATCTGGTATTATATTTTGGTATGTTTTTCTACGAGTCGTGTTTTAAGGACTTTAGTCTCAGAGAAGTAGACAAATTGACATTGTGCCATTAGAATAAAGACAAATATTTTTTTCATAAAATTATAGTTTTCTAATGAACCCAACATTGAAAATATACCTCTTAATTTTTAGCTAATTGGATAAATATTTTTGGTAGTTTGAAAAAAGCGGCTAAATATTTTAGAATTGCTTGTAATTAAGTCAATGTGTTGAAAAACAGAATAAGCAGCATAAAATATTAAATCTCATTTGTTTTCTGATATATGGCCATTTTTGACATTTTTAAATTATTTTAACAATGACTGTTACCAGTCTAAAAAGGTATTTAGTTTAATAGAATAGTACAATGAACGAAAATTTACCCACAAATAATTATATATTTTGTAAAGTTCTTGTGATTATAAACTGATATTTCACGTATGTGACAGTTTTCTAGATATTATAATGCTTTTTGTTATAGTCTGATGACTTTATAGTGTCTCTCTGGAACTTAAGGTCTACTTTCTAGAGTTTAGGATTAAAATTAGAGAATAATTATAATAATTTGTATAAATTCAGATCCCATACTTAATGGTATTGAAATCCATGCTCATTTGAAAATGTAAGGACCTTTTACATTTCAGATGTTAAATTTAACCATAAACCAAATTAAAAGATAGCAGATATCTCTTAACGACATACCAACTTTCATTACAGTATATTATAACTCTAAGTTTTTTTAATAAGCAATCAAATGCCAACTTGAGGTAAAGTAATACATTTCACTTTGTTCCATACATGTTGATTATGAAATGGATTAAAATTTTCTTAAAATAGGAATGTGAGTAAGTCAGTTGAAAATTTTCAGTTGAAATGCGTGGAAAAGAAGCTGAGAATATTTCTGTTTCTTTTCAAAAGTATATAGGTGTTATACGTACAAATTATTGTGCTTGAAATAATTTATTAAAAATTTGTTTCTTTTGTCAATAGCAATTTCATCATGAAAACCTGGTCAATCTGATTGAAGTTTTTAGACAGAAAAAGAAAATTCATTTGGTATTTGAATTTATTGACCACACAGTATTAGATGAGTTACAGCATTATTGTCATGGACTAGAGAGTAAACGACTTAGAAAATATCTCTTCCAGATCCTTCGAGCAATTGAATATCTTCACAATAATAATGTAAGTGCTTCATAGTAAGCCAAATTATAGGATGAATGTGAATCATAAATGCCCTTTAAATGTTGTTTTATTTTTAGGAGGGTTGCTAAAATTTTTTTTCTATATGATATTAATAGACATCCTGAAAAGGGGAGATGGGAAGCACTACCTTACAATTCAGTTGTAGAAATGAAAAACATTTATTAAGCACACAATATTGTGATTATAGGGCAGAATGAGTATGAGATGCTAAAGATAGTATCAGTGATTATGTTTACAGGGTCAGGTGTGGTGGCTCAAACTTATAATCCCAGCACTTGGGGAGGCCAGGGTGGAAGTATTGCTTGAGGCCAGGAATTTGAGACCAGCCTGGGTAACATTGCAAGACTCCATCTCTACAAAAAATTAAAAAAATTAGCCAGGTGTGATGGCATGCACCTGTAGTCCCATCTAGTAAGGAGGCTGAAACAGGAGGATCACTTGAGCCCAGGAGTTTGAGGTTGCAGTGAGCTATGATGATGGCACTGCACTCTAGCCTGGGCAACAGATTGAGAATCTGTCTCAAAAAAATAATAACAATATTTATATTTAAAGGAATCAGCAATCAACTGGAGTAACTTTTATTAGAGAAAGTACATTTAAACATTGACAATCAGAGCTGTGGCTTAATGGAGACTTGCTCAAATGAAGGAATGTTTGGAGTCAGGAACTGGAAATGAGGCCAGGGGAATAGCAAGTCAATGTAGGTGCCTTTAGGGGAAGAAAGGAGAAATAAAGTGGCTGAGAGGTGTAGTGCCTTGTCATTGAACCTATAAAAATCAAGAAAAAAGGAAAGATCAACTATTCTGATTTTTTTTGTTTTGTTTTTTTGAGACAGAGTCTCACTCTGTTGCCCAGGCTACAGTGCCATGGTGTCAGCCTAGCTCACAGCAACCTCAAACTCCTGGGCTCAAGGGATCCTCCTGCCTTAGCCTCCCAAGTAGCTGGGACTACAGGCATGCACCACCATGTCTGGCTAATTTTTGTATATATTTCTAGTTGGCCAATTAATTTTTTTCTATTTTTTAGTAGAAAAGGTCTCGCTGTTGCTCAGGCTGGTTTCGAACTCCTGACCTTGAGCGATCTTCCTGCCTCGGTCTCCCAGAGAGCTAGGATTACAGGCGTGAGCCACTGTGCCTGGCCAGCTATTCTGATTTTTAACATTGACTTTAGCATTGTTTCACAACCATTTAGCTCAGCAGGTTTTTATAGGGCTTTTATGTTCTCAACATGGCTCTACTTTCTGGAAAATTAGATACATATTTAGAAAATAACAGTAAAAGCCTCAAAAATAGTTTTATTACTTAGGTGATACAGGCACAACAACTATATATACCAGGCTTTTTTAGATTTGATATCTTAGTTTCTAATCATCTGACTTCCTAATAGTGCATCTTATTTTATATTGTGAAAAATATGGGTGTGACAGGAACTGGAATTCGGATTGTAATTTCCTTGCTATCTGGATCTATGGGGAGGCAGTATGATGTGATGGTTAATAGCATACAGTCTTTGGAATCGGACTATCCTGGATTTTACTGCCGAGTTACCTGTGAAAACACATACAACTTGTGCAGTGTACAACTTGTACAAAGAAAAATGGCAGCCCTGTGACTCTGGCTTGAGGAACATTAATCTGACCTTTCTGAGCCTCATTTTCCTCATCTGTAAACTGATACTATAGTACCTCACAGATTTATTTAAAGATCAAATTAGATAGTAGCTGTAAAACATTTATACTGTGTTAGTCATATTTTAAGTACTCGATAAATAGTGCCAGTAGGGAGTCTGCAATAGTTGTGTTATCTTTGTTTAGAGCCTTGTCTATTATAAACTCTAAAAATGTTTCTTGAATAAAGGAAGACATCAGTATGGGCTAAACTGAATAGAAGACTTCAAGGAAATTAAATAGAATTTTGAATGGAGCTAGAATTTCATTAGAATATAGAGAAGAAAATACCTTCAGGTGGTATACCAGTGTGAAAATAGAAGTAGACCTGAGCAGGGGACTTCAGAGAGTGGTGACAAGTTAGTTTACAGAGACCAGGTAGAGGGAGATGAGATTGCTCAGGTGCTCTAGAGAGGGGTTTTCCAGAGCTTTGACATTCATACCTTGGAGTTTGGACTTTTTCTCAGGAATACTGGGAAACCATTGAAGGGTTTTGAGCATTGCTGTGACAGGATGAAAACAAAATCTAAATTTATTTTGGCAAGAATAGAACACAAGAGTGGGTGGAGACCCAGAGAGATCAAGTGAGAAGCTATTGTAACAGTCCAGATATGAGGTGGAAAGGGCTTGGACTAGGGTAGTGGGGATGGGAAGGAGAGAAAGGATAGCAAAGGTAGTTCTCAGCATCAACTGTGGAAGAGTATCTGTAGGGGGTTGGGTGACAGCAAAGTGGGAGGCCTAGACAGAAGCACCCACATTCTTTTATTCTCTTGGTATTATCTAAAACCTGGAGTAAAGTTATCCCTCTTACCTCACAGAATGTTGTAAATGTTGTGAGGTTAATTAATTACCTTTGAGAACTAAGGGAGCCATGAATGAAGTGGCTCATTAGACTAAATATTATACCCATTATCTTGGTACCTGAGTTTGGGCCTTAATGATGTAAAGTTATCTTCATATTAACAAGAATTGAGAAAATAAAACTCTATTTTCTTCATATCTCCAAATTTCAGGTGACTGATTTCTTATATAACTAAAATCTCTGAGTTACTGCCTACTAAGACAGGATACTGTGATAGCGCACGTTCTTTTTAATAAGAATTTATGAAGTCAAATACAGTTCATTACTAGAAAGCTTTTTTTTTTTCCATTTGAGATGGAGTCACTCGCCTATGTTTCTTAGGTTGGTCTTAAACTCCTGGGCTCAAGTGATCTTACTGCCTCAGCCTCCTGAGTAGCTGGGACTACAGGCATGTGCCACTGTGCCCAGCAGCTTTTTATCTCCAAAAGTTTTTGTTTACCTTCTTTTATCTATTAATGAAACCACTTTCTTTTTCATATTAGCTTCTAGACAGCTCAAATGAAATTCAATATTTAATTTGAGTAACTAGCTCATTATAGGAATCTAGTCTCATTCTAGTTGTTTTTGTAATTTAAAAATTTGACCCAGTTAATATTATAAACCTCTTCAAAACCATTTTGGTCTCAAAAACCATTTTGGAAGCAGTCAGAGTGTAAATGCAAATATTTGGCCACTTACGGGAGAGAAATATTTATTTTTTCATTCATTTATTCAACATATTTATTGAGCATCAACCAATAACAGACATTGATTTTAATAGGTGCTGGGGATGCAGCCTTGAGTAAAAGATTTGGTTCCTACCCTTATGGAGCTTGTTAAATTTTATTCAACTTTCAGTAAATTTTATGAATTATGAGTAATTCTGATTAATGCCTAGGGACAGTCAAACTTCCCTAGCCCCAGTACCACTCCCTACTCTGCAAAGCCCTACTTCCCTTAATTTAGACCACTTTTGCATATTTTCTTAACTCTACAGTTGATTTTAAACTCCCACTCTTCCAGACAAGGGATTATTATTATTATTATATAAATATTTAAGAGTTGTTAACATTTTGCTATATGTGCTATATCTATTTTCTTTTCTGCAGTAATTTAAAGTTTATTATAGGCAACCTGACATTTTATCCCTAAATACTTTATCATGTGTCTCTTTTAAAAAGAGCATTTTCATATATAACCTCAGAATCACTATTACATTTGCACAGATAATTCCTTAGTATCATGTAATATCTAATTTGTATTAAAATGTACCTAATTGTCCCTAAAATACCTTTTACAGCTGGCTTATTAGAATCAGGATCCAGTCAAGGACTGTACTTTTTGCCCATTTGGTTTTTAGGGCAAATAGGAAATTCCCAGTCTTGCAGTTTACCTCACACATCATTATTCAGCCTATTTCTGGAAGCTACTGGCTTATTTTTTCATATACACATGAACATTTAATTGCATAATATCAGATTGAAAATTTTGTTAAATAGAAGCTCTGGGTGATTTAGAACCCAGGCTCTTTGAGGTTGTCAGAGGTTGTGGAGGTTTGAACTCTCTTCTTTGATGGGTGTTTAAATTCAAGCACATAGGGCTATAGAGAGCAGAGGTATTATAAATCAGATTACATTATGGAGCGTTATGTAGTCCTGGAAAGCATTCAGCTTCAAAGTTAAAGACAATCAATCTCATTGTTTGAATTCCAAGTCCAATAGTTCACACTATATACAACAATTAACTAAAAATGGATCAAAGACCTAAATGTAAGAACTGTAACTGTAAAACTCTTGAAGATAACATAGGTCAATGAATGTCTGTCACCATGCATCAGGCCATGGGTTATCAGATATGACACCAAAAACAAGGAATCAAAGGAAAAATAGACAAATTGGACTTAATCAAAATTTGAAACTTTTGTTCATCAAAGGACACCATTAGAAAGTGAAAATACAACCCACAGAATGGGAGAAGATATTTGCAAACTTTTATCTGATAAGCAATTAATATCTAGAATATATATAGAACTCTTAAAACTCAATAAAAAGACAAACCAATTTTAAAATGCACAAAGAACTTGAACAAAATTTCTCTAAAGAATATATACAAATGGCTGATAGCACATCAAATGATGCTGAACATCATTAGTCATTACGGAAATGCAAATTGAAATCACAGTGAGATAACACCTCATACCCACTAGTATAAATGTGATTTTAAAAACAGGCAGCACGGCACTCTAACCAGGGCAACATAGTGAGACTCTGTCTCAGAAAAAAAAAGCAGACAATAACAAATGTGGGCAAAGAGGTAGAGAAATTGGAACCCTCATATAATGCTGGTGTTAATGTAAAATGGTGCAGCTGCTGTGGAAAACAGTTTGTTTCCTCAAAAAGTTAAACAAGCTGGACACAGTGGCTCACACCTGTAATCCCCGTTACATGGGAGGCTGAGGCAGGAGGATCATTA